GACACACAAACACACACACATATATATATATATATATATACACACACAAATATTATCCAACTAAATAAATATGTTGATTAAAATGAATAAAAAATTTTTTTTACATGACTAAAATAAATTGATTAAAATAAAAAATTATTAAATAATAAATTGATTCAAATAAATTATTAAAAAATTTAAATATTATATATAAGTACAGTATCTGTAATAAGCAGACAAAATAACAATAGAACCACTAACAATAGAAACTATATATGTATAGTAATTTTAATTAACAGAATCATATAGCAGAACCCAGCCTGAACACATATTTATAATATTAATGTTTTTATATATGAAAATATATATCTGCCTTTTAAATTTCATGATGGGGGTCCCTCACAGGAGGATGATCATATTTGGGGGCCTGTAGCATCTAAAAGATTGGACACCCCTGCTCTAGATTAGCACTAACATGAAGCCAAACGAACATTACTGTTGCCGTAAAACAATTCACTAATTTATCTGTTCGAATCAAGACTTACTTTAACCCGATCTGCTGATGATGGTTGAGTTTGTGCTCGATCTTCTTCAGATCTAAAACATCAGGTGAGACTTAAAACACATGCATGTGACGGCAAATAAATATATGCGCAAACTAACCGTATATACAAACCTTCTAAGTTCCTGACGCCTTCCTCATAAAACTTCCTGGCCGCAGCAGGACTAAAAAACAAGAGAATGAGTGTGAATTGAGTTTTACAACTCTATTGTTATTGTTCTCTTGAAATCAAGGGCGTCGTACCCGATCCCAGTCACTCGGGTTAAGAAGTTGATGGAGGAGCTTGTGTCGTCACTGCGAATCTACAGGACGAACAGACCACAAACATGTCACAATCTACACAGATCTGTTTCTCACATGCACATGTATATGTTAATGCCTTCATTTGCTTTCTCAAAGGTTAAATCAACTATAAAACATGCATTTCTAATGCACTCAAATACCTTTTCCAGCTTGCGCAGTTTTCCCGTCGTTAAAAACTCATCGATTTTCTCTGCTATCTTTGCACCAACTCCATCCTGAGAGGAAAAAGCAATCCTTTATAAAAATTGTGTCCTTAAAAAAATCAACAAGCAAGTATTACTCACACCTCAGGACATTAATACTAGTAAAAACAAAGAATCTGTACCAGTTTCTTTGCTTCTGCCCCACTTTTGATCTTTTGAGGGTATTTGGCGATCACAGATGCTGCTTTTCTGAACAGAAAACACCAGACAGAGTATAAACATAAGTTACATATGTCATATGTCTAGTTATGATATTATATCTTACATTATTAGACATTAGATAAGACTGTCTTACCTGTAAGCATTGTATTTATGGATGGCTCTGTTGACATTTCTCTCATAATTTGCCAATTCTGAAACGAGAAAGACCATTAAGACTAAGAGTTTAGATATGCCTTGAAAAATATTACGATAAAATGCTTTATCAAATAAACAATATAAACAAAACAATCAGGAGAATTGGATCAACGCTGGGCTACCAAACAAATGTGCTTAACATAAACATATTTAAACATAAATACAAATATTTAGTAGGAAATAATTGTCAAATATTCGTTGTTTTATTTATAAATTAAAAGTGAGTATAAACACTGCGTACTTTTATTTTGTAGATGGAGCACTACTCTTGAAACTGTACTCTGATAGCATGCATTAAACTGCAAATATCGGTGATCGTTGCTGTATTATTTCCAATTGTGTGTAAAGATAGGTCTAATATCCCACTAAAGTTAAGTTTCTTGTTTCAAAAAGACGTTTTGTCTGCAAAAACGATCCATTTCTATTCATTCGGCGTTTAAAGGTCCAGTTAGCTTAGCCGCATGCTAACCTGAGCTGTCATCAGCAAAACTCACCGATGAGAAAATCTGTGATTCCTTCGTTCAGAGTTTCCTGTGGCGCTTTTCTTTTACTCATATTTGAGGGTTATTTAAAATATGGGTGGATAAATGTGTTTGTTTTCACTTTCTACCGTTCAAGACCACGGCTGAGTCAGTGTCCAACGCTACAGGACAAAGCCTTAGCATTAGCACTGTAGCCACGCAATATGGCGGGGGCGGGGCTTGGAGACCACGCCCATTACGCCTACGACCGACCAATCATAGTCATTCGTTTAATATTTATATTTACGAACACGCCCCGTCACTGATAAATAAAGTCGCCACACAAAGTACTTTTGGAATTTTCTGAATGTTTCGTAAATATATGAATTTATCATAAATAAACAGATCTGAACTAATTTCATACACTCGATAAAAATCACTGCCACACCAGTTGATCAAATGACAATAAGCACAACTGTTTTTACTTGTATGTACCATAATAAAGCAATGGCATTCAGATTTTAGGTGTGAATATGTTGGGGTACTGTACCTTATGGAATTTAATTGACATGATAAAACAAACACTGTGTATTTTTGAGTTTTTGTGGTTGGTGCAGATACTTGTGATTATGCGGAGAGCTCATCAAAGCAGAACAGCTTGTGTAAAGTGTAAAAGCGCCACTTTTTAGTACTGCAATACTAAAATTTATTTCAATGACACATCAAAACTATTAAATATAAAGATTTTCTAATATCATACTAAATGACAGCATTATGACCAGCACCTTGCCATAGTAGACATTCAACAATTGTTACTGTACATGGCAGCAGAAATACTTTTGATAACAAAATCTAGAAGTAAATATTCCATAATTTATAGACAATTCTGAACTTTTAAACAAATCCACCAAATACTATGGAAACCCATATCTGCTACATAAGAAAAAAAATCATACTTTGGTAAATCATAATTATGACATAAAATTTCATAATTACGAGATAAAAGGTCATAATAATGAGATAAAGTCAAAACTGTCACATACTAAGCCATAATGGTGAGACAAAAGTCATTTATGAGATAAATACATAATTATGAGATAAAGTCAAAATTATAACACACTAAGTCATAATTTTGAGAATGGAACTTTTGATAAACAATCAAAATTTTAACAAAAATGTATTCTATGTCATAATTTAAAATTTTCTCACATAATTATGACTTAGTATGTCATAATTTTGATGTTTTTCTCATAATATTTGACTTTTCATCTCATAATTATGACTTTTTGATAATTATGGCTGTTTAATCTCATAATGATCTAACCAAAGCATATGATGGAATGATAGCAAAAATGAAATCAATGATTTCTGCCACTAATATGCGTCATATTTAGTCACAAATCTCTTTATAGTGTCAAGCGTTCAAATGCAGTGAACTCAGGAAACGAAAGAGCACCTGCTGCTCTTAACACATAACTAATAAATACATAAATATAAAAGAAACCGCTTGATATGAGTGTGGTTTCTCAAGAGTTGACTTTCACATAGACTTTATCCCGTGAGAAGATTTTGATGGCCTCCTCGACCTCTGAGAGCCGCTGATCGAGCTGAGCGCGTCGAGAGCGAACGCTCATTGTGTCGGCTTTGACGGGGAGAGACTGCAGCTCACTGACCAGAGACCTGTGAGCTACAGACACACACAAATCAATCAGTCCTCTCATCAATAATCAACTAAACATGAAACTGTTCGTGAAGACGTACTGTCTTCGAGGGACTGCAGGGTCTCCTGTCTCTCTCTTTCAGAAATCTGAGTGTGTCCAGCAGGAACGGACGGATCAGGAGTGTTTCTCCTCCTCTTCTCCTCCTCTTTCTTCCACTGCAACTTCCTCTGCTCCAGACTGATGAACCAGATGAGAGACGGTCAAAGTTTAATCCAAAATGATGCAATGATGCAAAGTATGAATATATGGGAAACAGTAGAAACACGTGTGTAAAACAGTACAAAGTTGATTTTGCGTTAAGAAATGTCTTTCATTTATGCTGTTTTTAATAAACAAACAAACAAAGATTCAAAATGCATAACGAGAGTAATGAGAATACAACACAAACAAACTTTTAAACATATTATATACTAACACTCAAAAGTTTGGAGTCCTTAAGAAAGAAAAAATAATCATATTCTTATTCATAAAGCATGCATTAAATTGATAAAAATGGCAGTAAAGACATTTGTAATGTTACGAAAGAGTTTTATTTCAAATAAATGCTGTTCTTTTCAACTTTATAATCAAAGAATCCTGAAAAATAAAATGTATCACAGTTTCCACAAAAATATGACGCAGCAAAACTGTTTTCAACATTGATAATAATCAGAAATGTTTCTTGAGCAGCAAATCAGCATATTAGAATGATTTCTGAAGATCATGTGACACTGAAGACTGGAGTAATGATGCTGAAAATACAGCTTTGATCACAGAAATAAATTACATTTTAATAGATATGTGACCCTGGACCACTAAGTGTAAATTTTCTGAAATTGAGATTTATGCATCATCTGAAAGATGAATAAATAAGCTTTCCATTGATGTATGGTTTGTTATGATAGGACAATATTTGGCCGAGATACAACTATTTGAAAATCTGGAATCTGAGGGTGCAAAAAAATCTAAATATTGAGAAAATCATCTTTAAAGTTGTTCAAATGAAGTTCTTAGCAATGCATATTACTAATCAAAAATTTAATTTTGGTATATTTACGGTAGGAAATTTACAAAATATCTTCATGGAACATGGTCTTTACTTAATATCCTAATGATTTTTGGCATAAAAGAAAAATGGATAATTTTGACCCATGCAATGTATTGTTGGCTATTGCTACAAATATGCTACTTATGACTGCTTTTGTGCTCCAGGGTCACATATTACAACAGAAAAACATTTTTAAAAACTGTTTTTACTGTAGTTTTGATCAAATAAATGCAGCCTTTGTGAGCATAAGAGACTTCTTTCAAGAACATTGCAAAATCAGAGAGAAATCTTTGGAAAGCTAGTGTGAATCAGTGACTCACTATTGTGGTACTCTGCTCTTCTCGGCGCTGGGTTGCGGTTTGTCTCGGAGGTTCTGTAAGGACTGCGATCTCCTCAGGTTCGTCTTCGCCGCGGCACGAGCGTTATGATTCACGAAGTCCACCGTGTGTCCTCTCACATGCATCTACACACACATAAACACCTCACAATGAGAGAGAAGCTACTCTAACGAAAGACATATAGTGGAGGAATGACAAAAAGTCTATTTTAGTTTGTTAAAGCAATAAGCCCCAAGAAGCCGTGGTTTACAGTGATTTTATAACAGCTATTGTTAGGCACGACGCAAAGCGGGCTTCACGGGGATTATTGCTTTTATAAAACGGTTATTCCATATACGTAGTAAGGTTTCACAGAATAAAACAGAGCAAATAAAGTGTAATGATATTAATAAAAGCAGTATTCTTATTTTGAATTAGCTTTTTTATATTTTCATTGTAATTTTATTATGTGCTTTTGTCATTTTTAATGTTTTAAAAATATTTGTATTTGACTTTCCGTTTTAATTTTCAGCTTGAACTTATTTCATTTCATTCATCTAATATTCATCTAGATATTTTATTTCAGTTTCATTTCAATCATTTTAATGATATTTAATGGTTTTAGTGACAGCTAACAAATGCAATTTTTTGCATTTAACGTCTAATTCTAACGAAACTTGAACACACTAGAAAGTAAAAGAAACTCACTGTTACTGCACTGAACTACTTAGATATCATCAAGGGAATAATATGAATGAATAAAATGAGTTCTAACTTGCTCACCTGTAACTGGGCCATTACTCTGGAGGAAACATCCTGGTATTATTCCATATACGTAGTACGGTTTCACAAAATAAAACAGAGCAAATAAAGTGTAATGATATTAATAAAAGCAGTATTCTTCCACCAAACAATGTAGTTCCTCAGAAACGGTTGTGGTTGCAACAAAGTGGTTGCCAAGCAACAGACAAACGTAAACAAAGGTGTATGTTTGTAGAGTAATTTACAACAGCTTCAAACGCGACTCAGCCAATCAGAATCCAGGACCGGAACTCTCCGTTTTATAAATATTAATATATCACACGCCTCAGAATCCGAGTCTCCTGCCGCTGGTGACGGTCCGCTCTCTGAGCGGCGGAGCGGTGGTCGACCTCCAGCTCCACACAGAGAATGAGCCTTCAGGAAGCTCTGACATTCGGCTTTCTTAGGAGGGCTCGTCTCCTACACAGACACAGAGACGGAGGTTTAAAACCCTGGTTTTAGTGCAATTGCTAATTGACACTTAAGTAGATGGTTCTCACTGATTAGTGTTTTGGATCATGGTATTTTGCATTGTCCTATTTCAAACAGATCAGACGAAACAGATGATAATAACCAAGCGTAAACAGGGCAAGAGACACATTATGAGGTTGAAACGTGGATAAGTGTCCCAATCACAGTCAGTTTATTGTCAATACAGTAGCAGTGTTTTTTTAGTTTTATTTATATATGTGACCCTGGAGCACAAAACCAATCTTCAGTGTCAAATTTTCGAAATTTAGATTTATACATCATCTGAAAGCTGAATAAATAAGCTTTCCATTGATGTATGGTTTGTTAGGATAGGACAATATTTGGCCGAGATACAACTATTTGAAAATCTGGAATCTGAGGGTGCAAAAAAAATCAAAATATTGAGAAAATCATCTTTAAAGTTGTCCAAATGAAGTTCTTAGCAATGCATATTACTAATCAAAAATTAAGTTTTGATATATTTACGGTAGGACATTTACAAAATATCTTCATGGAACTTGATCTTTACTTAATATCCTAATGATTTTTGGCATAAAAGAAAAATGTATAATTTTGACCCATACAATGTATTGTTGGCTATTGCTACAAATATACCCCAGCGACTTAAGACTGCTTTTGTGCTCCAAGGTCACATATTAGTATTATTTATATATGTATTATATTATTATTTTGAATTAGCTTTTTTATATTTTCATTGTAATTTTAGCTGAAGTAATTTTTTTATGTGCTTTTGTCATTTTTAATGTTTTAAAAATATTTGTATTTGACTTTCCGTTTTAATTTTCAACTTGAACTTATTTCATTTCACTCATCTAATATTCATCTACATATTTTATTTCAGCTTCATTTCATTCATTTTAATGATATTTAATGGTTTTCGTTTCAGCTAACGATGACTCTACAGATGTTTTATTTTTTTGCATTTAACTTCTAATTCTAACAAAACTTGAACACACTAGAAAGTAAAAGAAACTCACTGTTACTGCACTGAACTACTTAGATATCATCAAGGGAATAATATGAATTAATAAAATGAGTTCTAACTTGCTCACCTGTAACTGGGCCATTACTCTGGAGGAAACATCCTGGTATTTTGGAGAGATCCAGAGTGCTTTAACCGGCACAGGTTTGGCATGTTCTCTCTGCGTCTCCAGCTCTCGAAAGCGCTTCTGGATTTCACGTAGCTTGCGAACATTTTCTTTACCAAAGTCCCGTATGGCAGGTTCTGTCAAAGAAGAACATGGAGGAGACGGAAGAAGCAGACATTTATCAAAGACTTTAACACTTTAATTCAGCAAGGATGCATTAAATTGATCAAAAGTGACAGTAAAGTCATTTATAATGTTACAAAAGATTCCTATTTCAAATAAATGATATGAACTGAAAAATAAAATGTATTTCAGTTCCCACTGAAATATTGCGCAGCACAACTGCTTCCAACATTGATAATAATCAGAAATGTTTCTTGAGTAAATCAGCATATTAGAATGATTTCTGAAGATCATGTGACACTGAAGACTGCAGTAATGATGCTGAAAATTCAGCTGCGCATCACAGGAATAAATTACATCTTACAATATATTCACACAGAAAACAGCTATTTTGAATTGTAATATTATTTTACAATTTTCTTGGTATTTTGATCAAATAAATGCAGCCATATATTCTGATCTTACTAGGTTTGGCTGGGCTGGGGTTCAGCGCCACTCCCTCCAGCTTCAGCAGGTCTCCCACAACCCCTCTCTGTCCTCTCTCTAGGATGTGAGCGGCGTTGGCACCGATGCGGGGTCGAGGGGTGGAGCGGGCGCTGTAACACCCAGGATCTGGTGCTAACGGACCCTTCAGAAGAGGAGCGTTCCCCTCCAGCCGACCACGAGCTTCAGCAAGAATCCGAGAGATGAGATGAAGCATCACACACATGCAGAAATGAAATGAGCATCACGGTTTCAATCTTACCAGAGGACGGCCGTTTATAACACACACACACACACACACACACACGCCACAGCACACTCCTCTTTATCCACTTTAAAAGCAGGAGTGTGTGCGTCCCGATAGAGTATAAAGCTGCTGTGTGTGTTTTAACCTCACAGGGATGTGGCTTTGTCTGTCCCCTTTGACCTGGCAGTAATTCTACAGTACAAAACCCCCAAAACACTCTTTTAGCCCTCTGGATGGTACATAAAAGTGCTCGGCTGAAGTACAAGCTAGAAGAGCAAGAGCAAAAATAGTGAGTGTGAATGATGTTTGGTGCATTTAACCAATATTTTATTTATTAATTACGTTTATTTATTTGTGTTTATTTGTAATTTGTTTTATTTTTTTTATTTTTTTGCATTTAACTTCTAATTCTAACAAAACTTGAACACACTAGAAAGTAAACTGTTACTGCTGTTACTGCACTGAACTACTTAGATATCATCAAGGGAATAATATGAATGAATAAAATGAGTTCTAACTTGCTCACCTGTAACTGGGCCATTACTCTGGAGGAAACATCCTGGTATTTTGGAGAGATCCAGAGTGCTTTAACCGGCACAGGTTTGGCATGTTCTCTCTGCGTCTCCAGCTCTCGAAAGCGCTTCTGGATTTCACGTAGCTTGCGAACATTTTCTTTACCAAAGTCCCGTATGGCAGGTTCTGTCAAAGAAGAACATGGAGGAGACGGAAGAAGCAGACATTTATCAAAGACTTTAACACTTTAATTCAGCAAGGATGCATTAAATTGATCAAAAGTGACAGTAAAGTCATTTATAATGTTACAAAAGATTCCTATTTCAAATAAATGATATGAACTGAAAAATAAAATGTATTTCAGTTCCCACAGAAATATTGCGCAGCACAACTGCTTCCAACATTGATAATAATCAGAAATGTTTCTTGAGTAAATCAGCATATTAGAATGATTTCTGAAGATCATGTGACACTGAAGACTGCAGTAATGATGCTGAAAATTCAGCTGCGCATCACAGGAATAAATTACATCTTACAATATATTCACACAGAAAACAGCTATTTTGAATTGTAATATTATTTTACAATTTTCTTGGTATTTTGATCAAATAAATGCAGCCATATATTCTGATCTTACTAGGTTTGGCTGGGCTGGGGTTCAGCGCCACTCCCTCCAGCTTCAGCAGGTCTCCCACAACCCCTCTCTGTCCTCTCTCTAGGATGTGAGCGGCGTTGGCACCGATGCGGGGTCGAGGGGTGGAGCGGGCGCTGTAACACCCAGGATCTGGTGCTAACGGACCCTTCAGAAGAGGAGCGTTCCCCTCCAGCCGACCACGAGCTTCAGCAAGAATCCGAGAGATGAGATGAAGCATCACACACATGCAGAAATGAAATGAGCATCACGGTTTCAATCTTACCAGAGGACGGCCGTTTATAATACTCAGGAACCAGTGTGGGGTCTGGAGGAATGGGACCAGAGATCGCTGAGGGCCCTTCACACATGCTGCTGCTGCAGAGGAGTTTAGGACAAGTTTAATTCATCTAGTAAGGGAAAATACAAATAAAGCTTAAAATCAAACTTGTTTCATAATGCACAAAAGGTACTCTGCAAATGGGGTTAATATAATTTAATATTTTAAAAGTTAAAATAATTACTATCTTTTACTTATGAGTACATCTATTTCTATTTTATTATTTCTATTATAATTAATTTATACATTAATTATTTTATATTCAGACCAGAATACTCTTAATATTCAGAGGTAATGTAATTTACTTTAATTTAATATTTATAAAAGTTAATATAATTATTATATTTTATTATTTTATAGTATATATTTTATATTCAGACCAAAACGCTCTTAATATTCAGCGTTAATATAATTTAAGATTATAAAAGTTAATATAATTATTATGTTTTACTTATAATTATACTAATTTCTCTTTTATTATTAATTATATTAGATATGTACATATTAAATGTTTTACATTCTGGCCAGAATGCTTTTAATATCCGTCTAATGATCAGCGAGGTCAACAGGTAATTATCATAAAAAAACACGCATTCATTTACATCAGCTTTTAGCAAGCAGGACTAATATATATGATGTGCATAATTAATTTTAATTTATTTGATCACAGATTGTTGTCCTGCTTGAACTCTTATTGTCAGTAAGCACCTGCTGATTTACATAATATCCGAATTAGAATGATCAGTCACCATATTATTCTGTCTGAGAGCATAAACGGTAACATGTATAACGAAAATGAGTTCCTGAAGAAGCTTACCTTTAATTAAACCCTCAATTCTTTGCTAATTGTGCAGATACTGCGCGGTATTTGCTCTAATCTTCGGTTACACCCAGACTGATGACGCATTAACAACAAGCTCAAAGCTTCACCATGGCAACAACGCCTTAAAGAGACAGCAGCAGTGCAACCTTATCGCTCACACATAATCACCACTGATCTATACATGACCGAAGTTTTCTATTATAGTTCAGTGATAATCACTCATTTATATAATATAGCTTCATTATATAGCATATTACAATAAATACGCTAACCATATTATTTAGTAGTATCACTGGGGTACACAAGTAAATAGTATACTATGTGTATACTATATATAATGTTGATTTTGTATATAAATGTTTATTTTAGCAATTGTATTAATTGCATTTGTTGTTAAATGTTTTGTCATGACAAAAAACTATATATATATGCCCAGCCAGATCCCTGACTTAAACCCAATTGAGCATCTCTGGAGAGACCTAAAAATGGCTGTCCACCAACGTTTACCGTCCAACCTGACAGAACTGGAGAGGATTTGCAAGGAGGAATGGCAGAGGATCCCCAAATCCATGTGTGAAAAACTTGTTGCATCTTTCCCAAAAAGACTCATGGCTGTATTAGATCAAGAGGGTGCTTCTACTAAATACTGAGCATTTTTCAGTTTTTCTTTTTTAATAAATCTGCAAAGATGTCAACAATTCTGTGTTTTTCTGTCAATATGGGGTGCTGTGTGTACAGTAATGAGGAAAAAAAATGAACTTAAATGATTTTAGCAAATGGCTGCAATATAACAAAGAGTGAAAAATTTAAGGGGGTCTGAATACTTTCCGTACCCACTGTATATATATATATTAAAATAGACAAGTGTGCGTGTGAGTGTGTATTAAAATCATGCATTTATAATATATATACGCACAGTAAATACAATTATTAGTAGTAGGATTGGAATTACTATAACTAAAATGAATATTTCGTTCAATATGTGCTTATTTCCTCCATCTTTATTCTATTCTATCTACTTGTTTTTCTTTGTTTGTGTGTGTGTGT